TTTTTTCTGTTGATAACTTTTTTTGAACAAATGTAAGTATAAAAATATACAGGCTTTTCTTTTGGAATTTATCAGAGTTTTTTCAGTTGGCAAATTAGAATGAAAAACGTACTTTTTAATATAATGGACAGATCACAAAATTCTGGCTCACTTTTGTCAAATTTGTTCTTCTTAGGAGTCAGTCTCCTTAGAAATGGTTGACTCTTTTCTCCTGCAAGTAATGGACCTCTGTCACCTTTCTCTGATATTGGGGATAAGATATTTTCTTTTATTTAAAAGGTTGAGGTTACTTGAATATATCAAATGTAAATTATTTAAATTGAACTGTACCTTGTGATTCTTGAGGGTTTCAAATGCAATTCAAATTTGGAGAATATGAATTTTTAATATTGAAATGTCAATGAAAGAAAAAAGGTAGCAAAGGCTGTAATGAATTTAGACGAACATTTATGTTATTTGATGAATTTATGTGGTTTTTACCAATAAGGGACTTAATAATAATTCAAGTAAATGGGATTATTTAAAAGATTACTTGGTAGGTGTTAATGAAATAATGTTTTTCATTTTTTTCATACAAATGAATTTCATTTCTTTCCACAGTTGCTTTTGCTTTGATCATATAGGTCTGATAATATTTGGTTAAAATAGTTTCAGTGCTACTTTCTGGGGTTTGCAACTTGATTGTGCTACATATGAGCTGTGATTTAGGGCCAATAACTTAATCCACACCCTGTTTCTTATCTGAATAATAATTAATAATAATCACTTCATGCAATTGTTATAAGGAGTCCATGAGTAAATGCATGTGTGATGTTTACAGCAATGCTAGCATAAGTACTTTAAATTTTTGAGTTATTTTTAATCTCTTTATTATTGTGGAAATTAAAGTGGTTTTGTTAATAAAATGAGGTTTTTATCCAATGATTACTTAGAATCCTTAAGTGAACTGCATGAGTAAATTCTTGCATGAATGGATTTTATTGTGGTTAAAATGGTGGAGAAGTAATAGGATTGGTTATAACTAGGGTCGAAGTAGTAGTGGTAGTTTTCAAAATGACGGAGTTCATCAATAGTTTAGCCTGTAGTCTAAGTTTTAGAGCAACTACCTGCTCCCTTCAGTCTGCTGCTTCTGTGTGACCCTCTGTGCTCTTTTTAGGTCAGGAGTCAAAGCAATATGTTATAGACCTGGATTTGGGCCTTTTGTATGTGTACTGTGATCAACCCAAGGAATCTAGAGTTAATACAAATGTAAATAACTATAACTGTAATACTTTAAAGAGTTTAAAACTGTGTTATTTGGTTCCTATTTTATGCAATGGGGATAGATAATCATCCTCAATTTTCTGATGCAAACTCAATGGCTTAGAAAGGTAGAATGATTCATCTGAGACTGCGTAGCTAATTACAGTGACAGAATGTATGGAATTGTCTTCATCTTTGATTTATCTTTCTGATAACTATTTCTAGTTACTAAAATTGCCTTATTAAATATGATATATTGTTTTAAGAAAAAATACTTAGACAATAGCAGAATTAGTATGAAATTTGTATAAAATTTAAGGCCACTGAGTATAAAGCAACAAAGAAAGTGAGACCAATGTCAACATTTGCCTTTGAGTTTGTACTATTTGAAAGACTTAGGATCCTTGATATTAAGTTGTTTGCATAAAATACAAGGCAAATATGGAATTTGTAAGAACTTTTCTATCTATTGTTGTTTTGTATCCACAGATTTTAGTAAAATATGCACACTAACACTAGAATATCTTAGAAATATCTTTTAGCAAGAAATATGCTTTTTGATAAACATGTTGGCAATTCTTAGATGAGTGAATGAAAGTATAAATCTATGCTTTGGTAATTATTATGTGTAAACATCCTTAAAGTCATTAACAGCATGATTGCTTAAAAACTAAAAGCATTTATTTAAAATATAAGCTTATTAGCAATAAGCAAATGAACTTCATTCTGAAATATTTACATTTTATGCATTAGCATTTTTATAACAAAAATCTGTTTGAGATATGCACTGACATTTTTGTCGGGTTATACTGTAGACTAATCAACTTTACATTTCAGTGATAATAATACAGACATTTCTTGTTTCTGTCCTTGTCTATTGAAGGTTGCTGTGATATCTCACATTGTTCTTTCTTGGGTGATCAAAGACAAAAGAAAACCATGATGGAACTGCAAGACAAAGTTTAAGTTCTGCTTGGTAACACCAAAAGTCACTACAGTTTACTTTGGATTAGGCAAAGTAAGACACATAGTCAAGCCTGAGATTATGGGGTGGGAATTAAGTTTCTCCCCTAAGCAGGAATCCCAAAGACGTTTAGAAGGAAGAGAGGTGAATAATTTGGACTAATAATGCAGTCTGCTATGGGCATCATTGCAATTCCTAGGGTTGGATTCAGCTCGAGGAAAACATGGCAGCTGTCTGTGACAGGATTATCTCTAAAATTTTATCTCATGATCAATTTTCTACATTTTTAGTCTTTCACTTGTTGCCTGGAGTTGTAGTTTGGTGATGTATCAAAATTTTCCGTGCACTATTTTTTTTTGAATCGTCTAATTGCTAAAGTCAAGGCTTTGTCTTTAATAACATAGAATCCTACATTAAACTAGTGTTGCTGTAATGCAAGGGAGAGTTATGTGGACTGCAGGGGAGTGTCATGGAGCCTGTGGGCGGAAAGCCTTCTGTGCTCATGTAGGATTAGAACGCTGCCATGAATTGTCTGTCTTTGTTTTGTTTTTTGAGACAGGGTCTAACTATGAAGAGCAGGCTGGCCTTGACCTTGCTTTTGTTGCTTACACTGGCCTCGAAGTCACAGCCCTCCTCCTGCCACAGCCTCGTAAGTGCTGGGATTACAGGTTTTTGTGCACCACCATACCCAGTTTCTTTTCTCCTTTTCAAATAACCTGTGCGTTTCCTTCTTTATTTTTTACATAGGAGCAATTCTCACTGTATTTTCATGTATTTTGTGCTAGTGAAAGCCCCAATTGCTTCCAAGTTTCCATGTCATCACATAAAATTGCATCAAACTGAACCAGTCTTTCTGTTATCAGATCTCAATTCTCCAAAGAGAGAACTAGGCTGTGCCAGCTAGGAATACAGAATGTAGATTTCTATGGATCAGGAAGGCACAGGAGAAATTCACAGAATGAGGCTTGGACAGACAATCCAAAGCTGTCTACTGTACACAGGTTAGATTTCTTATTAAAAATAAGGAAATTAAAAGTGAATTTTCCTTATTTTTTATGATTTTGTCCTCTTGAATATGTTTTTTAAAAGTTCTCAGTTAACTGTTTTGCTGTTTGATGTGGAAATTAGAACAATGGATTCAGCTTTGCAGGCAACAGGATGAGACACGAAGAAAGTGCTGGGTGCGCTCACCGTTCTGCCATGCACTCTATTCTCTCCTTAAGCAGTGTGGCTCAGCTCTCCAGTTGCATAGCTGGGCATTCAAGGACACCCAAGCCTGCTGGAAACAGTGGTTCTCGAAACTGGAGGGTTGGAGAAGAGTGAGATTCTTGATGTTCTATGAAAAAGTGTTTCAATCCTCAGGCTTTAAAGTGCCCATTAAATCTAATACAATGTTAGTGTTCTTTCAGACTCTATGAAATTTAGATGCTCTGCTGAAGCAAACTGAAAATATTAGTGTGTTATTTTTTTTTTTGTTGTTGTTGTTGTTGCAGTTTCTTATTCAGAAAGATTTTTGGAAGCCTAAGAACTAAAGAAAGGTGAAAATAGGGCCAGAAGTCTAGCTCAGTGGTATAAATGCCTTTCCAGCAACCGGGAGGTCATGAGTTCAATCTTTGGTGCCAACAAAAAGAAAGGTGAAAACAATGATTTCTCATGTACACATCTACCCATCAACTGGATCTGCCCCCCTCCCTTTTTCTACATTTATTTGTCTTTCCATAAATGCTTTTGTCGTTGTACATCAACATTGTTCACTCAGTTAAAAGAAAATCACTTCATTCCTTTATTGCTTACACTTTTTGGCCCTGAACTTTCCTCTTTGTTATCACATTAAAAAATGTTTGTGTAAAAACCTAAATCACATGTATCTGACCAAAAAGACTCTCGCCATTTCAATCACTTAGGACAGAAGAGATAAAATTTTATCTGTTGTCAGAAACAACAATTTGTGGCCTCTGCACAAACTGTCATTAACATCTGTGCTGATGTTTCTCAGGCCAGTTTGCTCATACAATTCCATTTATTTTTATTTCTAGTTCTGCAACTGCAAAATGATTTAGAGTCAACAGCAGGTGGCAGTGTTAGCAAAGGTTGTGCTTTTGGGATCTGATTAGACTGGAAAGGAACATCTTACCAAGCTGAGTGAGTAGAGCTATCAGTAGAGTCTTTAAATAAAGACTTAAATGTCTCTAATTCATTATACTTCAAGAATTATTTTAGTAAACAGTTGAAAGTTATAAAACAGACATATTTTAAAATATTGATTTAGTCTCTGAATTTTTTGTAACTGTGGAATCAAGTACAGTAACTGAGAATAGTCTATTTGTTTTGCCTTTTTTTCTTGTACATTTGATAAACTAAAAAGTCGAAATAGTTTCAACTGGAAAGATTAAATAGTTTAGATCCCATTAAAATTTCAGGGAAATATTATGATTATATTTGTTTCTATTGATGAAAAGCACTTATTTTGAAATTTTGTAGCAAACTCTAAGAATGCTCTTTAAAACAAAACTACTCTTATTCAGTGGGGTAATAAAGTTTAGAAAGTTTAAATTGTTGACATTTATTAAACTAATTTTTAAAATGTGCTTTAGTTATAATTTGTGCTGTAGGCCATACTTTTGCTGTGATCCTTCTTTCATTTTAAGGAAAAGCAACCTGGAGGAAAACGAGTTTTTCTCTTCATGGAGGTGTTCTATTTGATAGTCACAATTTTTGTGTCATTGTACTAGAAAGAATGATGAGAAGTATTATGCATCAAAAACTGTTTAATATTGCTTGGATTAGAACGGTTCCATGTGTGTTTTTGAGTAACATGTATGATTTATGAGTTCATCTAGATAGCAGGTAACAGCAGATTAGTTGATTTCTGTTATCAATGTAATTGTTTTACTTATTAAGAACACAGAGTAATTAAAATTAGAAGAAAATTGAGAGATTGTGCAATTTAATGGAATCATTGAAAATGAACAAATTGAAGTCCAAGAGAGATTTCACTAAAAGAGAGACTTAATGGATTCAGGTTTAATTCTCACACTGACTGAGGAATGAGTCAGCTGCAAATTATTATTTTATGTGTCTGCACTCTCAGGATTCCTGGATTGTCTAGGTTCTGTGTTTTTTTATGAAGAAAATGATGGATAAATAATTTGTCTTTTCCATAAATAGTATATTTTGGCCATTTCTCTAACTGGTTGACATGATGCCTAGATTTGTTTTGATGAGTGATTAAATTTTAGTGAGTGTGATCAGATGTAATTTTGCAGAAAATACTGTATGCAGATATTATTGTCTCTACAGTTTAAAATTATAAGCAGAAAAATGCTAAACATTTCTAAATTACATTAAGATAAAATAGCAAATCATCAGGAGATTAGAGTAGGTTAAAAGGACTCTTAAGCATAATTAAAGATTCCCCAAGGGGCAGCTTTATCCATGAAAAACAAACAGTACAGAATAAAATCTTGTATTTTCTTCAAGGGTTACATTAGATGCAGGGAATGATGTGGGAACAGGTCATACATTGTATGGGGGATGAATCCTTTTTGAAATAGAGGCACGTTGCCTGTTGTTAATAAGATATTAATGGTTTATGGAAGCTGTTGGTTAGGTCAAAATGAATTTCATACATTTTTATCATTATTCTGTTACAACCCAATATTTACATATGGTGCTGTGTATTAAAGTTAGGCAAATCACTGTTTCTGAAAAATTCTCAGCTCAAGTATACAGGCCAGTGAAAGTGCCTTGGAGATAGAATTTCATCAGGTTTGTCCTGTAGTAATCAGTGTTTTAAATTACAGTGCAGCGCATTCCAAATCAATATAATGAATTGATTTGTAAATGTTTCAGGCAGCCTACCTTCTTTGGATTTTGTCTACTGAATGTGCACTGCAGGTAAAGCATCTTTTTTCTGCATAATTAAGTCTACCTTCTTGGCCTTTCTCTAAGTTTAAACTGGGTTTAAAATGCAGAAACACACATGAAAGCAACATTGTGGACATCATTTATTCGTAGTCTTATAAATATTGAAGGAGTAGGAAAAAGGAAATTTTGATGGGAAAGAGAAGAGAAAAAAACCTGAATTCTGAACTTCAGTGTCCCTTTTGGAAGATATTTTACTGTTTCATTTCTGGGAAAAACTTGAGTTTAATATTTTCAAATGCCTAGATTTCCTGAACATAGTTATGCTCATTATTTTTATAGCTATGGTTATATTTAAATTACAACATACAATAAAGAGTAAAAAAAGAATAAGATATTAATCTGAATTTTGAGAATTCCGAAAGTCTTTTGACAACATAGCAATGGAAAGAGTTATCATGAAAAATAAACACAACAGATATTTATTGAGTGGATATAGTACCCTCTGTATATCAGACACTGTGTTAGTTACTTTTTAAATATATTTCAGTTTTATTCATTAATTACGTATAAGGAAGTTGAAAGTTAAACTATTGAATCTAGGATTAAAGCGCAGGTTTCCATAATGATATTTCAAGTTTCAAAAGCATCATTTTTCTCTACTACCTACTAGTTGTCAAGTTCTAGGGACATAAAAAGTGAATCAAATCAAGTTTCTGCCTTGAGGGAATTTGTATGGTTGTCTATTAGGACTGAGAGTCATTTAAACAAATAATTCGATACCATTTCATAAGTCCCAATGCATGCACTACAATTAGAGAATTACTTCATAAGGGGAGCTGAATGTATAGTCGCAGACATGTGCAAAGGTAAAGTGCTGAAGAAATTAGAATTAGAGTTGTACAGCTCAGCTCAAATGATCTAGCATTTTACAGTAAGCAAACTACGACTCCTGGGTGACTCTGTTGATGGGAGTGGATGTAATAGTTTTTATCTTTGACAATACATTTGAATGATTTAAAATTCCAAATTAAAATTAGTGAGGGTTTTACTCTGTCAAGTTCTTGAATGCCAGTCTTTTGTAAGATATATTTAACAGGATATAGTTTAACAGTGGTTATTTACAGTGCCCACTAGCAGAGCATATACATAATTACTTAAAAACCATACACATAATTACATGGTAGGTTTTGGTTGGCAACAATATTATTATGAAAGCATGTATTCAAAATGAGATTCTGATAGTGTTTAGTTAGCAACTTCATATTATGTAATATATATGTTGTACTGTAAGAGAGATGACTTTTAGGATTTCAGTTTTCAAAAGTATAGCTGTTGATAAAGAATATTTTTAGATCTGATAATGTGTTTAATGTGGACGAGATATAGTTTAACATGCTTATTTACAATGAAGTTCTGGATTGGATGAATTGGTAATGTCCTTAATGTCCTTATGTCTGTGAACCTAAGGTGATCTTTGTAAGCGCCATTTTATTTGTTTTAGAGTTAACTACATTTACAGGCAGGCTACCTAAAATTTTACATTTAAATTTCACTTTTACTTTGGGAATTGATGGCAACCTTAAATTCTTGGAGCATCATCCTGTGCAATATCTTATTTCAGCTTAGTGTTACTGTATTTTCTATGTTCTCATATTTTATTTGGCTGTATGGGATTTCTAACACGGTTGGTTAAGGCTCCGTGATCTTAATGATAGGCTGCCCTTTGAAACCAAAATTATTCATGTGTAGATACATGGGCAGGTTCTGAAGTAGTTTTTGATATAATATGAATGAAATTTAGGAATGTAAAATCCAGAGAGGGCTCAAGTTACATTTCTCATCAAATTAAAAGTATCTTAAGAGATATAGCATCACCTTGAAATGAAAAAATTAGCTTGGAAATGTGATAGTTTACACAGCAGTTTCTCTGACATCTGTTTCAGTTTGATCAGTTGTTTCTCTTCATCACAAGGCAGGTGTCCTTTTCATTATCAGCAACATAAACTGAGACACAAAGCTTGCCATTCAAACTTCTTGTAAAGTCCCAAGTGATAGAAGGAGATTTTTCTATCAGAAAAGGAAATAAGTGATATTTTTATTAGGGTGTCAAACTAAATAGAAGAGTAACCATTGATCATTAGTTTATTTAAAAATGCTTTGGGTCGAATGAGTTTAATGGTTCTGTGAACATGTGAGCCAGTTAAAATAAAACTATGTGCATCTGTGTTTAATCTTGCTATTGATAATTAACAGGACTTCTTATTTTTGCCATTGTTGTTAGGCTAACATTCCTTTTTGTGTCTTACACAAACTAGTTCCAAGCATTCTATGGTCACTTTCTCATACCAGCACCAGGAAATCAGATCCGCAGTACCTGATGATGGCCTTCCTGTTGGATTGTTTTGTACTTAGGAGGCAGAATCTTAAATTCTTATCAGCTTGTTTCAATGTCAGCATAATTGGAAAATATGGAGTCTCCGAATTATTATCATATTAACTTTATATAATTAGAGTTTCTCAGGAGTGTGAAGAAGTGTGAGCCACAATTAATATTTGGGATTATGAAATCACAGAGTTATAGGTGTAAATTATGTAAATATCATTATTCTAACAAAAATTCAAATTTACAAAGTGAAACCTTTGAATCCCTTGAATGAATTGCTCCCAGTGAAAAACGTCCTAAAGTGGCCATTAGAGGGTGCAAAGGCACTGCAGAAGTGATCCAGCTGTTCCTAGAATGAGAACTAACAGAGAAGTACATTTTTTCGACCATAAAATGCTTAATATTTCAGAAAACATTCAAATCTTCCAGAGCATTTCTTTGAACATGAGATGAGTACATGCTCATCAGAGTATAATCCTGCTTTTCTTACTTGATTTCTTCTGAATGAACAAGTGTCACTGCGCTGGCTTCTGAGAAGCTTGCAAAGGATAAAATCGGCGACAGCGTTCGGGAGGAGGGGTTGTGCCACTACTGTTGCTGTTGTTGAAACGAGTGGGGTTTTCAAAGTCATGAAATGCCATTTGAAGGAAATTTAAATCTTCTGGCTTGTTCTTTATCTGTGAAGATGGACATTAATTTGGAAGAGGACTGAAAAAGAGTTTGGGGGAAAGTTTGAGAAGGACAGACCAAAAAGCACACGATTTTTATTTATTTGTAAATTTTGGCCAGGAAATTATTTTCCATTTTGGATGAGGTAGTTTTGTGGAACAGATCTGTAGGCTGACTCTATGGCTTAACTTGCTGCTTGGCAAATTTTAAAAAACAAGCTCAACCCAAGAAAAATAACTAAAATTAACTGTACATATTAATAAGTTAATTGACAGAATGAAACCTGATTACCTGTAATAGAGCATGCAATCTTTATAAGTTCATTTATAGCCTTAGTTGGGCAATTAGATGAGATTAATTTTTTTCTAAACAATGTTTTTTGTGATAAAGTTAACAGAAAATTGAGAACTACGTTTCTTATTAATTATATGTAAGAGGAAATAAATGATCATTAGACATTTAATTTTAAGGCCGTATCTGAAAGAACATTTTAGAAATACTCTTTTTTTGGCAATTTTATGTTAGCCTTTAAAATAAAATGAATGTTTGAAGTGAAATCTCACAGGAGGTGTTATGTCAGTTGAAACAAAATTTTTTGTTGTTAAGATCTAAGTAGTTGTCATCTACTAAGATGGGATCTACTAAGATCCCAAAGCTCATTGCATTCCTTAATTTTTCACTATCATGATCCTTGAACCATGAGAGTCCTTTAAAAGTTAACACCCTCCTGCCTTTCTGTTGACCAGTCTCCCAAAGAGCTGAATTACGGGAAGATCTATAACCAGATTCTTTACATTGACAAGGACATGGGGATCAATTTCATGGAGCTTGTTCAGCTAAGTAGATATTTAGATTACAGTCTTAGAATTCTGATGATAGTATATATTTGTTTACACCTCTGCAGATTTTTATTGTAGGCAAATTCATATATAGAATCATAGGGTACAAAAATAAACCATAGATTTATCCGTGTATGTTAGAAGTTATCAGAAAGTTTGTGCCCACATTCCAACCTTCCAGGGTGCAGTTGAGTTAGGCAAAGTTGGTTAACTTAGCGAAGAAAATGAGGGTTCTTGCTGAGCTCTCAAATAATACATTTTGGCAATGATTGGGAAGTTCTAAGACTGATACTATCCCTAGAATTAAGAAAAGCATAAATCTCAGCTATATAAAATGTACTGGGATTATAGATACAGACAATTCTATTTTGCAATAAAAAATAAAGATCTATTCAGATTTCACACTTGAAGGAGCAAAAAGCTTGAGTATATGGCGAAATGTAGTAAGTAGTCTTTTTTAAAAGGCCAGAAGAAAGAAACATTTTAGCTGTGGTCTTTTTACTCAGCATTCAGTTATTATATTCAGGCTTTGATCAACTTGTTATTTTAAGATCAATAAATTCTTAGTGCATCAAATTTTAAGGAAGTGAACTTACCTCTTTCTTTGCTTCCACGTCTACTCAGAAGACTCTAATATTTCCATTTCAAGGCGTTGACTTTGACTTGAAGTAATTTCTGTATAGATCACATATAGTTGAAATTTTAACGTTAGTTATGATTTCTAATTTGGAGCTATGGCTCATTATACTACATTACCTTTTCCACAGTAGTAGTGAAGTAATTTTATACCTCAACTGCAGTTTGTACTGTTTTGACATCTAGTATCAGGGTGGCACAGCATATTTTCTGGCCTTTTTAAAATGACTACTTCTACCTTTCACTATATACTGTTATTTAAATATTTTTATATTTAAATAAGAAAAAAATGCCACACTGGAAATACTATTTCTGTTTAAAAGGAGCTGAATTGTGAGTGTACCAACCATTGTCTTCCTTACTCATAAGCCAGTAGAGACAGCCAAGGGTTATTTAATTCATTTAATTTATTCTACCACATGTCCTAAATACTCCAAACTCTGATGGATGCTTATATCATCTTTAAAGGTCGCAAGGGAAGAAAAATCTGTAAGCTACCTTAGTGACCCATCTTAGTGTGGACCATTCCTCGTACTTTTATACAAGAAGAAATGCAGAAAACTCCAATTTGACATAAAAGTAGTCACGTGTGATGAGTCACCCTGAGAGAATGATGGGCAATTGTACATTTCTTCTGTCCCTTTACCAAAAGGATGAATGGCCTCTCACGGCCTTAACTGTTCCCTTGTGTCCTGCAGAAACAGTCATGATCTTGTTAATGTTAATTTAAAAGAGATAAAGGATAGCTTTCAAGCAGCATATATAGTTTTGGGAAAATGAGAGATTGAGGAATACTCTTGAATATCCTCACTTCCTTTAAAATTTCCCAGTTCACTTTCCAAGTTTTCTCTGGTCACATCTATTTCTCCCAGCTCATTTCCTCCCAGATAGCTGTCAGTGAGCACAAGCTTTGGTCCTGACAAGTCATGGCTCAGATGCTGAGTGCTCCCTTCAGTGACAGGAGACTATTAAAGGAGGAGGAGGAGGAGAAATAGGGGAGGGGGAGGAGGTGATGATGTAGTATTGGCATAAAGCAAGACTATGCAGACCTCAGTTCTGGAAATTTACCTCAACCGTAGTAGGAGCTCTTGATGCACCAGAGTTGTGGGGATGGCAAGTGGGGAAGGAGATTTACAAACTGTGACTCTCTGTTTAATAGCAAGGTTCTGTTCTGATTGCTAGAACTGAAAAACAAGATTACACAAATTTCAGCCATGTAACTCAGCCTTTATAGGTTGCTACTGTTGAAACACCCAGAACATTTTAAAGTCCACCACAGTTTTAAAGAAATTTAGATCCTGAGATTTGCTTGTTACATGTAAAGATGGACAGTTGGTTGAGGAAAAGGATTTGATTTTTTTTTTTTTTTAACAGGAGGCTAGGATGATCTATGGTCTTCTGGTCTCAAAAACCACCTTTTGGAAACTCGAAGAAAATCAGATGTACAACCCAACCAAAACAGGAATTCTATTTGAATACGATGATAAGTTTGGAGAAATCTCTCTGGAGATGGTGTTTTCAAGAGTTGTATGGCTATGATGTTATTTTAATGAAACCAGCACGAGAAGTGCGCCCTATTACTACATTATCAAGCTGTGATAATGTTTCCATTGTGTATTACGTCAGTGTTCTCTCATGTGCTCTGACTCCAGATGAAACTTAAGGTGTTGACTACAAAGTCTAAAATTATTTGGATTTTAGTTACTATATTCTCTTCTAATGTGATGCATTTTAAATTTAAACTTTTGAAGCATTCATGCTACTTTCAGATTACATTGAAGATAATTGGGGAATGAGACTTGTTTTAGAGCATTTTTTCAAAGGTGGGGGAGGGGAGAAACATCCTCTATGTGAGCAGTATCTTAATACTGGATTTCCTTTGAAAGCAAGAACTTTATTCTAAAATTTGAAATATTTAAGTTAGTCAAAGTAACTCTGTGTGTCTTTAAATTGCAAATATTGTTTTGCAAGTATAACTTTTTACCTCTTAGGTTGTATGTGCTTATGTTACAGTAATGTATTTCTGACACATGGCATGGAATGTGGATAAAAATGAACCTAAAATGTAAAAGTAAAATATTACTCTATTACATCCTTCTGGGGAAATATATTCTCTGGGTATTTTGATAAACCCCTGCTGACACTGACCCAAGTTGGTGGCTTCAGAAAATATCAATCTGTCAGAATCTATAGCAGGAGTTTGGCTTGTTTCCTATTATTATGTGGCCAAAAGTTTAGAAACCATTTATAGACACTTCCCCTCCCTCCTTAGCCTTGTCCAAATAATTAGCAATTCTCAGACCAACTGCAAAATGTATTTGTGTTCTGCTCTTTCAGCTAATGTCTGCCTCAGTCCAACCCGTCTTCATGCCCTGCAAGTGACTGCAGGTCTCCTCAGTGAACCATGTATCTACTCTTGCTAGCTTCCAATTCTTCTTATTCACACTGCCCATTTTTATAAATTAAAAGGTTTATTTTTAGAGCAGTTTTAGATATATAGAAAAATTGAGGAGAAAATACAAAGTTCTCATTTACCTCCCCAAGCCCAGTTTCCTGTCTGAGTAATCGCCTGCATTAGTATGGTACATTTGTATAATTAATAAGTTGCTACTAATCCTGAAATCCATGGTGACATCAGAGTTCACTCTGTGTTGCACATCCTATGATTTTTGATAAATTTATAATGACGTATACCCACCATTGCAGCATAATTTTAACGCCCCCAAATTGCCCATATTTTACTATTCATCCCTTGTTACCTTCTTCTAAATACTTGTAATGATTTTTTGTTTATATTTTTGCTAATTTTACATCTTACAAAAAGTCATGCATTTGAATCATTCAGTAGACAGTCTTTTCATTTTTTTTAATTTGCCACGATGAATATGAGTTTCTTCTGTGTCTTTTGTGTGACTTATGTATGTTGTTGATTAATGTTCCATTTTATGTGTAGTCCATTAATTTCTTGATCCTTCCATATATTGGATATAAAATCTTGAATGGTTCCAAATTTTGGCAGTTATGAATAAAAACACTATCAACATTTGTGTGTACATTTTTGTGTGAATATACGTTTTCAACTTCTGAAGGTAAATATTAAGGAATGCTTTCTGCTTCCTTTGGGAAAAAGTCTTTATTTTATATAAAAAGTCAAACTGTCTCCCCATGTAGCTGTACAATTTTTCATTCTCATGAATAAGAATGAGGGTTCTTCTTTCACATTGAGGCCAACACTTACTGCTGTGCATATTTTGAATTTCAGCTACTCCAGAAGAAGTATAGTAGCATCCCATTGTTGATCTGGTCGGGTATTTTTTTTTTTCTTTTTTCTTTTGAGACAGGGTCTCACTATATAGTCCAGGATGGCCTTAAACTGATGGCAGACCTACTGCCTCAGCCCTTGAGTGCAGGGATTAGCATCCTATTAATTTAATGTATTAGTCCCTAATTACATATGACTTTAAACATCATTTCATGGTTTTTTATCAACAGAATGTCTCATTGAGTGAGATATGTATTCAGACCTTTGGCCAATTTCAAAATTGAGATTTTTTAATGGAAAAAGTTGCAATTTCATAACAAAGTAATAGAATAACAATAGTTAATACATTATACTATCTTAAAGTAGTTATTCAGAGTACAAGATATGGGCATAAAATTTCTATGACTGATATTAACACAAACCTTCCTTTTCAATGAGCTAAAAGGCAATAACAGTGTACCCACCTTGCATGTTTTCTTTTTCTCATCTATCCTTTCCCATTTCCCTCACCTCAGATTATTCTTCTTTTTCAACAATTTCTTCCCATTTCACAATATATGTGGTTCATTTTGGATTCTGTTTATACTTGCTCAGTTTCTCACATTAGGGAGACAATATGAAGTTTACACATGTGAGTCTGATTTATTTCACTTATGAATATGATATCAAGTTGCATCCATTTACCTATAAAAGTCTCCCATTTATTCTTCTTTGTGGTTGAGTAGCACTCCATTGTATAAAAAGATCACATCTTTTTTATTCATTCTTTGGTTGATGGAAGATTTGGGTTGTTTCTAAGATTTAGCTATTATAAACTGTGTTGCTATAAACATACGTGCACATATATTGCTGTGGTATGATGTTTTTAATTCTTCTGGAAAGATACCCATAAGGGGAATAACTGAGCTAAATGGAATCTCTAATCCTAGCTTTTTGAGGAATCTCCATACTGATTTTCATAGTGGTTGTACCAGTCTGAACCATCAACAATGGAGAAGGCTTTTGCTCATCAAAAGCAATCACCGAGAGAGTGAAGAGACAACCCACAAAATTGAAAAAATTGTCCCTTAAATGACTTTTGTCTGGGATATGTAAAGAATCAAGCTTCCTCAAATTAAAAAACCCAGTCTAAAAATTAACATCTGAGATCAATACACATTTCTCAGATAAAAAAATACAAACAGTAAATACATATATGAAAAGATGTTCAACATCACTGGTCTTTCAAGAAATGCAAATTAAAACAACACTGAGATTCCATCTAATCCTGGAAAGAATGGTTATCATTAAGAAATCAACCAATACTGAATGGTGGAGGGGCTATGGAGAAAAAGGAATCTTTTTAAAGAGTTTTAAAAATTCTTTGTATTTTATATTTTTGTGCATTGGATTTTTTTGTTTTTGAGAGTTCTTTGTGTTTTGGCTACCAATCTTTTCTCAAATATGTATTTTACAAAGATTTTCTCTTAATGCGTGGCTTAACTTCCTATCCTCTTAGTAATATCACTTGCCTAAGTTTTCTTTTGGCAGGAAGTCTAGTTTCTTAATTTTTTATACGGATCATGGTTTTGTGTCATATCCAAGAAGTCATTATCAAATCGAAGCTCACCTAAATATTCTTGTTCATTACCTTTTAGGAATCATATTGTTTTGTATTTTATGTAGGTCTTTAAATCTATTTGGTGTTAAGTTTTGAAAAAGGTATAAAGTCTGTGTGTTGAATCAATCTTTTTTTTCAAATTTGCATATGCATGCCTAGTAGTTCTGTCATCTGTAGACAACACTATGCTGTCTCTTTCGAATGGTCTGTGGCGCTTTAGTTAAAGGTCTGTTGATAATATTTATGCTTGTTTATTTTTGGGCTCCCCATTCTGTTCTATTTTTCTGTTTGTCTGTTCTTCCATCAGTACCATGTTGTCTTAATTACTGTAATTTTATCACAAGTATTGAAATCAGGAGTGTCCATCTCTATTTTTTTTTTTTTGCAGTATTGTATTCTGAATATCCTCCCTTCTATGTAAATTTTAGAATGTTTGTAAATGCAAAACAAATTGCTAAGATTGTGACAGATATTGCATTGAATCTATCATTCGGTTTGCTATGAGCTGCATCTTAACAATATTGAGTTTTCCTATTCATGAATATGGAATGTACCTCATGTATTTAGATGCTTTCCTCACATTATTTTTGTGCATATTTTTTTAAGGATTATTCAAGGTATTTGTTTTTTTTTTTTTTTGCAAATATAGATTTTATTGGCTTATTGGTTTTCTTCCATTTAATATATTTTCTAAGTTTGTTATTAGGGTAAAAATGCTAGTCTCCTAGAATGAGGTAGCATGTATTCTTCTATTTTTATTTTCTGGAAGAGTTTATAAAGAATCAATATAGTTTGTTTCTTAAATGTTTGATAGAATTTACTAGTGAACCTCTTTGCCTAGTACTTTATATTTTGAGTGGTTTTTAATTAATAACATTATCCTTTAGTGTCTTCATTCAGATCATGCTACGTTTCTACTTAAGACTGATGATTTTCTTACTGTTGACAAAGATCCTGCTTTCTCCTACTAGAAAACTCCTCTAGTAAAAAACAAAATAACACAACACAAAACAAACAAACCAAAAAAAACCCCCAAAGTGGAAACAAAACACTCCACCTTTCCCCCCTTGCTTTCATTAAATACTCAGAAAAACATATTAAATACCAGATATGCAGTGATTTTCCTCCACCCAACAAGCAATTCTATGACACTCCAGCTGGGTAGACTCATTTCTGACAAATTCTACCTGGCATGAGATCTCATCAGTTAAGGGCTCAATTCCAGAATTATGTCCCACTTAGGACATCAATTTTAAGTCCCATATTATGACTTGTTTTTCTGTCTTATCATCCATAAATCAGTTTCCATCACCCTCCTCCTTGAGTTGAACTGATTTGTTAGAACAGATCACAGAACTCCAAGAAACAGTATACTGATGCTTGTTCATTTCTCATAAAGGGTATATAATGTATATAAGGATACAGATGTAGGTCCACAGCTGCTCTGTCCTCCAGTACCCCCACATCTGCACTGTCCAGAAGTGCTCCAAGCCCTGTCCTTTTGAGTTCAGTTCAACAAGCAATTGGTATAGTAAAAGTGTAAAGTGCCTTTGTTATTTTCTTTCTTTCTTTTTTCTAAGTGCTCCAGCTAAAGTTTCCAGAACCGTACTGAGTAAGAGTAGACACAGGGGGCATCCTGGTCTTGTTCCTGATTTTAGAGTAAAATATTTCAGTTTGTGTTTCACATATTATATATATATATATATATTACAAGAATGTTTTGCTTTTAAACTTCTGGAAAAGTGTTCTTATTTTTTAAGATGAAAGCACTTTGAGCATTTGAAGGAAACTAAGCGTATTGACCCCGTAATGACCGATGCCTACCTTATCGCATGTTTCACATGTAATTTTGCTTCATGCAAAAAAACTTGTTTCTCTGTAGTTCTTTGTATGGCACAGAAGACTAACTAAAATTTATTTAAATTTGAACTGAATTTTTCTGGAAAGACAAAGAGCTTTTGCTCTCCTGTGTAAAGGAAACAAAAATAGTAGAAAAGTAACTTCACTTTTTTTTTAAAGAAAAGAATGAACTTTTAGAACAAATTTGATGAATATATCTTTTTTCCCGAGTGTTGGAACTTTCTCTCAGAGGTTTGAGGCTTTAAGATTGCCCAAACACTCACAGGTCTTAAAAAACTGTTCACATTTGTGTCAGCAAAAGCTGTTTCCTTCTGGGCTGTTTCTCATTTCCGTTGTTTCTGTTTACACGTTTACTATACCAATTTCCTTCAACTGTATTTTCTTACACATTATTCCTCCTCCAAATATGAGCCCACCTTAAAAAAGAATATTTTCTGCCATGATATCTGAGATTTTGAGAATAAGAAATAGACCTAAGAAAACCCTTACATGATAACATTAATTTCTGTTTGCCCTTCTAACCACAATGACCCCAACAGATGAGATAGCACTTAGTAAATTCCTTTCTGTCCCCGTTCGTTCCACCACTACCATCACAACCCATTCTGAAGTCTGCAAACAAGACTTCAGGTGTCCATGGACTTGGATTTCCCAATATCTTCTACCTCTGTTTTTTCTGTGTTTGTCTAAGTTGTATTTGAGGGGAGCCCAGAGAGTTCTTGGTCCTTGCTGGTAAGACAATGACTCTTCAGTTACCTCATGACTACAATTATCTAAGAGAGCAATCCTCAGGAAATCCTCAGGAAACTGCTTTCTCTTCATAAAAAGTATCAGGACAAATACCGCCATACTTTATACCCATGTTTGTCTAAATCACCTTCAGAAATGCAGGAATCTTAAATCATAAATTACGACCCAGACTCATGATCCATAAGCTTATATGGGTCCAAAAGAACTACCTCACTTACTTTTTCCCCATACTGTACCCCCAGCTCTTTTACTGTCACCTTTGAATCTGTCATCAAAATTCAAATGAGCTGCTACCTTCAATTCTCTTCTCATTGTTGCCTTCATCTTTTAACTAAAACTGGGCCATCCTTGAGGATAGTAATTACTTTTTGGTTTTCTTGACTTTTGCCTTTATTTATGTATCTTCTTTATGTTTTATTATTCCTTCCATAACAATGTATCTTTGTTCCAAAACAAAGAAAGAAAGAAAGAAAGAAATAAAGAAACAAACACCCGAGAATGTCTAAAGTGTATCCTTCTTGGGAGTCTATCATCATCTTTCTCAATAATTGAAGATCTGACCATCTATACT